CCAAGACAATGCCTGATGAGATGATTTCAGTCTCCAAGCTCCTTGACATATAAGTTCACAGAATTCATAAATGAAATGTACCAAAGTCATTATTTTTTTTCCTTTATAAGTGAGGGTGACAAGTCCAATACAGTGGCTTTTACAACTATCAGAAGCATTGGAGAAAAGAAACTTATATTTTCTTATATTTATTGGACCAATAGCTGTCTGAACTTAGCAAGAAGTTCAGATACATGTGTTTATTCAACACAATGACACAAAAGTTGAACAAACGTAAATAATCACGAGAAGAATATTCAAAATCTGTATTTAGCATGTTACATGGAAAAGACTTCTAGTTTACAATACCTCCCAGTATTATAGTCATTTTACTGTTCTTTACAGTCGTATGTCACAGTTTAGTGATTTAATATGTTAAATTTTACAAGGGTCAATCTTTCTCAAAGAAGAAAGAAAATCAACGAGGATACACCAAGCAGATGGACACAGAAAAATGCAGTCAAGAAGCAATATTCCTTCCAAAGATGTGGCCAATAGAGCCACATACACCATGAATTGATAGACACCAGAGTTTGTAAGAACAAAGGCCTGAGAAAGATGGCATTGCAATACGTAACAGTGATGTCTAATAGGAATCATGAGCCATTAAACATTACCTCATCCTCCAGAAAAAAAAAATGCCAATAGACCAGGAAATTGTATGGTTGAAATCACTGTGGCCTTGGCCTTGGTACTTCTAGTGGCAGCTGTAGACCTGTAGTCAAAGAAGGTCTGATCCAGCTGTTGTTTCTGCAATTATTAATGAATGTCTATCTAAAGAGATCAGAGAAGAAACCAAGTGCCAAAAACATTGCTTGGGGGGGGGGGAGAGAGAGAGAGAGAAAGAGAGAGAAATTATAAGCAAACTCACAACTGAATTATTCATAGTTGGATCTTTGACTGGTATTGCTTTCTTTCTATGGTTTTTCTTCCTCTGATCAGTGGAATTCTGCAATACAGGCTTTGTAGCATGTACTGACTTAGGATCTTGAACAGTACTTTGTTGGAGKAGAACCTGCTTCTTTGTGATGATCAACTCAGTTTCAGGTTTTATCAACTTTGCAAAGGTTGATTTGGCCTGGTTTTGACCAGTATGTTCTAAACATTACTGAATTTGTCAAAAAAAAAAGTTTAATATTAACAACCCAGTAAACAAATGACTGATCAAATGGTTCAATGATTTGACCAGTTGGGTCACCAGGCTGTTGACTTAACATCACTGGAAGCTCTTCGCAGGCCTCACTAGTCAGTACCTGGGAGCTAATTCTGTATTTGTCACATCGTTCATAGACCTTGGTATTGAATATTAGCCACTTGCTCTGCAACCAACAAATTGCCAGCAGTCACATCATTCAAATGGTTTTACACTTTTTTTATTGATGTCTATATCATACATCTTATATTTTGTTTCTTTTTGTTTTACGACTTTTATCTTTTTGTCTTTATGAGTTGTGAAAAAGTTCTTTACATTGTGCAGCTTTGGGAT